TAGGATCTGGTAATCCTAGTTTCAGCTTCATAGCAAACGGGTCACCCCACATATGCTCCGCTCCTGTGCCAACGAAAAACAAACGCAGCTCTCAGTGTCACGCCATGCACTCAACTCAGAAGCTGGGCGACGAAACTACATCCTTCCAGTCTACAAATGGAGCAAAAATGCAACGGCCACCGTCTGGCAAAAAAAAAAAAATATTTGCCACGGCTTTAAAAAAAAAAAAAAAAAGGGTGTCCTTACCTAGCGTCCATTTTGACCGGAAGAATTATATGAGGGTTAATAAACGGTCACCCCAGCAGTACCCTCATTATTAGCTGGGGAAGGGACTTAAGACATTACATCCACCAGCAGGCGTCGCCCCTACAACGACCTGCCTGCCATCGTTAACGACTGTTCACCCAACAGCCATGCAGTTCTTTGGCACGAAGGAGACACCTTGAACTTGGGTTTCATACTGCCGACTCCCTACTAAGATGTTATTTTATGTTCTGTTATCACAATTAATGTTACTGCACATTGGGCATACCCATGCGTGCTCAGTTCTCTGAAGCAGCAGCCACTCTAAAGTACTTCTACTAATTGTCCCCATGAGAAGCTGGTTATATTGTCTCCTTTCTCGGCCTCGAAGACGGCAAAGATGTGCATCACCATGCTTAACTCCCATGTCACGCAATCGTGTTAGTGTCAGGGATTCCTCATTCTCCACTAGCCCAGTTCGTACAGCGTTGACGATATCTGCTCTGTCCATGCTTTTCCCCGCAATCATTAGTGCAGTGCTTTCCAGTTGGTCTGCTCGCTCATTTCCCTTCACGCCCGCATGACCCGGTGTGTAGATCCAGGTTACGGAGGTTAAGTGCGATTTAGGGAAGGATAGAATGATTTGGCGTGAGTTGGTTGAGGGCCTATGCTCCACTATGGGCTAGATAGGCAGAAGAAGACAGTCAATATCATTAGTTAAAACAACAGACTTATAAACATTGTGAAACTAAAAATACATCATCATCATGTGCCCTGCCAACTGGCGTAGGTGCTCATGTGTCTCCACAGATCACGATGCCTGGTTGAACAGCTCTCTTGATGATATCCCTCCATCCCATCTGTCAGGGACCTACTTTACTCTGTAATATTTAATATGGCTGGCTAGGTAGGCCAGCTAACAGACTTCACTACCTAGACACACTTAGGACACACTCCTGCTGAGTACAAGCATAATCTTTAATGTACAATGAACAAATAGACTTTAAACACTTCAACTGAGTTAGGCAGTTCCTATCCGAAACCCCTGGCGATGAGCAGCTTTACAATCACTGGTCAACCCACGCAGGTCCCCATGGATCTACAAGGAGCACGACTCCTAGCTGACAGTTTCTCAGGGCTAATTAAGCCGCCGTCTATTGCCACACGGAACTCAGCGTTACACGTAAGGTGTATGGCCTAAGCGTGACCGGGCAGTGTTATCACCATTTACAATGCGCGTCACACCTTTACTAACTGCTCAAACAAATACTGCATGGAATGTCTACTACACAAAGAACATTAACTCTATACTATCTAGTCGAAACATTAAATATAAACACAGCCTATCATAGATACTACACACAAAGATCCTATTTCAACTAACCATCACTAAACCTAATTTTACCTAGTCAAAGCGTACCGTCTTGTTGTCTCGTCCCGTCTCAGTACATGACTCTCCCTCAACCAGCTCGCACAAAGCTTTTTGTTTCTGGCCCGAGTTCACGGCTAGACACGCAGTAATCCGTGTGTGAACTAGACTTGGTCCGTTAACTGGACCCAGTTTATTCCGTGGTCAAGCTGTCCGCTCTCATACTGAGTTGTACTGAAGGTCAACTCGTTCATACGTGTTGATTCACTATCATCAGAGTTGTCCTGGCCTCTGACACCATCGTTTCAGCCCATCCAGTATCTTCTCTCTTGGTCTGCCTCTACCCCTTTTTCCACTGATCTTTCCAGTTGTCACGATGTTCTCCAGTGTCTCTCTCCTCATTATATGGCCAAAGAACAGTGTTTGTCTCTTTCTTATTGTTGTATATAGAGATCTACTTTCATAGCTTCTTTCAAGCAATTTGTGTTAGTTACTCTGGCCATCCAAGATATTTGTAACATTTGTCTCAGAAACCACATCTCTCTTGCTTCCAGATTCTTCTTAATGTGTTCACTGACATTCCAAGATTCGCTGCCATAACAGCAGAACAGGTTCTATGTAACCTTTTAGCACCCTCTTTACCAAAAATACATGAGAAAATATTAAGAACATAGCCACTACTAGCAGATAACATACAAGTAGGAATGTGTACAGTGAAAGCCTGATATGACAGTTTAGTGTGTGATTTATCAGTATTCACTTTGGCTTTCCTGAGTTATTGATTACTTTTGTCTGTTCACTGCATGAGTAACTTACCAAATGCATTGCATGTTTACAGTCATCCTGCCAAGTTTTGTTTCGTGTTAGCAGTTATTTATATTTTTCTTGTTATAGTGTGCTCTTATTCAGTGTGTATAATTATAGAAGCTTATTTAATGTGTTTTTTTTCTGCTTGCCTGTCTGAATCTTCATGTTTTATCTTGTCTGTCTTCAATTTATCTGTTTGACTGTCTATCTGTGTCTATTTGTCCAGATGTAGCTTTTTTACTTAGGATTTTATAATCTGTCTCTTTCTGTCTGTCTGGTATTTATGTCTGTCTGTCAATCTGTCTGTTGGTCTGTCTGGATTAGCTTATTTACTGATAATCTGATACTGTTTGTCTGTCATGATATCACTTATTTACTTATGATATTACATCCTTTTTGTCTGTATTGATATAGCTTAATGACTTGAATCCCTATATGGGCTCCAGGGGTCCATTATGGGGGAGAAAAAAAAAAGGGACATTTTACTTAACATTGTAATACTGTTATATCAATAATGAAATTACTGCTCAAGTTATCTTTTAACACTGCACAATAGTAGTCAGCGAAGGAGATTTTAAGTAAAGTATTGAGTTAACTGTATACGCACAATCAGTTTGCAAGGTCAGTGATTGTACTGAAGTATTTGTTCATGGAGTTGTGGAGGCATGTTTGCTTGCCTAGTAAGACATGAGTTAAGAGCCGACTAATAGCACTCAGGAAACTTCCCATAAGTGCTCTGTCCTCTGTCTTCAGCATCAAGCACAGAGTTCAATTCCGATGGTACTAGTAACATTCTAGTTGTATGTCAATCTCAACATTCTAGTTGTATGTCAATCTCAACATTCTAGTTGTATGTCAATCTCAACATTCTAGTTGTATGTCAATCTCAACATTCTAGTTGTGTGTCAATCTCAACATTCTAGTTGTATGTCAATCTCAACATTCTAGTTGTATGTCAATCTCAACATTCTAGTTGTGTGTCAATCTCAACATTCTAGCTGTATGTCAATCTCAACATTCTAGTTGTGTGTCAATCTCACCTCTCCTCTGAGGGTAGAGCCTCGACCAGATCTCTTGGTGGCTTCTCGCTGCAACATTATCTTCAGAACGTTATGATCTATGTCTATTTTTGCCTCAGTACTGTCTAACTCAAAATACTGGGCGTAAATTTGCCTAGACAAACCACACAACAGCCAGGGGGGGGCTGCTGGGGTTGGTTCTGCAACGTCCTGTAAAGGATATGCAACTATCCTCTCTAATTCTTGGCTACCAGGTCGACCCAGCCTTAAGTGGGCACTAGGTGCAGTCCTGGGAAGTTAAGATAGCGGGCATGATGCTGAGCACATCAGCCACCAAGTGCTGATTGGTCTGTGAAATATAGTTCTAGCCCCTTATGCCCACTACGCAGGAAGGCAGGGAAGATGGTCCTTTACTGTTTACTCGCCCCCAAAGAGCCCTTGCAACATCCAGCTAGTCATGCATCAATTTAGCCACCATCGGCTGTCACTTCCAGGTCGGACCTTTACATTTGGTTACTGTGAACAATATTTATAGGTCTGTTCCTCTCTTTTTTGTCATTTCTTCTGTAAGCTAATTTGTTTTTCCTTTAATCTTTGGAAAGAATATTCAGTAAAGTGAAAAGCATCATCTTGTTATGCCTAATTATTTCATTGAATATATTATTTTCTAATTCGATGGTTAAAAAAAAAAAAAAACTGTTTCTGTGATTCCCTCAGTTTTTGTTTGTTAACAAGTTTTTTATGACCCTTTATGGTGTTACCTAATTACTATAGTTAAAGACACTTTTTATCTGTAATGGTTCTGGAGTCGGGGGGGGGGGGGGGGGGGGGGGGGGGGGGGGTGACCCACTACTTCCTTAACATTTTTATTGTAAAATGTGAACACAATTTTTTTTTTCTTCTGAATTTAGATCTGTATTTGCATAGATATCACAGCCTTACTTGTAAACGATAGCACAGTGTGCTAACTGCTCTTTAAAGTTTTAATGTAGAAATGATGAATGAAGAAGAAGGTATACCTTATTAAGTTACATAATCATGTAACACTACATGAAATTTATTGAATATCACTACGATTAAGGTACCACATTGCCTTCTTGTGTAAGTTGTCACATATCACCACATGCACACCACTACAAATTAGGTATCACAGTGACTTACATCTGAGTTACATCACTTATTACATATCATAAAATATTTCAGTTTTCACATACCATGGCAATTCAGTTATTACATACGACCATGTGTGTAAGTTGTCGCAGATCACTCTGTACATCCCACGTGAGACACCAAGCTTTACAACTGAAGCAGTATCACTTGCCAGAATACATTGAGTTCATTGCCAAAATAAAAATAGAATGGATCAGCTTTACACAAGCAAAATAGATGAATGGATGTTTTAGCCAAAAAGCCTTCATCAGCACACAAAAAAAATAAGACTGATTTTCTTAACAGTATTATAAAATGAAATCTTGGAGTTGTCTCAATTTTAGGGCATGAGATAACTAAAGTGTGTGTATATAAATCATTGTGTTTTAATTTGTTGTTTGTTTATGTTGCAGAACACACTGTACTATGACTCATGGTGGATGTGGCAACATGTCTGCTTGACATGGCTGAGTGCGCTCTTGATGCTGACCTCTCACTTTCTGCCTCCGCATTACCTCCACCTTCTCCACAAAAGTGCCAGACATCTGGGTCGGTGGCAGAGAATTGAGGCCAGGCACACCCATGTCCCGTATAATGCGTAAGTTAGAAATGTTGTTTTTGTTGTTGTTGCAGTTTTATCCTGTTTATTATTATTATTATGTTTATTCTTTGGCCAGCATCTGACCGTGGTCAGTTTTAAACATCCTAGAGTGGGTCCTGATGCCGCCGGGTATTCAAGGAGTAGAGAAAAAAGAAGAAGCAGTTTTATCATCATCATCAACAGCACCAAATGCTTTGCTAGCTAATCTTGGTTCTGCACATCCTAATCTTCAGCAGAATATATCGATTCATGATCTGATAGTTGTTCAAGACATGATGCAGATGTGTTGGGAAATGAGCAGGCTGGTTATGTCTCACTGGATTGTAAGTTGGGGCATGTCAAAGCAGATGTAAACGTCCTGTGTGAGTTTGCAAACAAAACAAAAGTGTGGGTAGATCAAATTGTTTTGGAAAGAATAATGCAGCAGGAAGTGACTAAAGGATCTGGCCAACACTCAAAGAAAAAGTAAGATGGCCAGCTTATTGCTGAAGATGTGGATGGAGTGCTTATGTGAATGCCTTGAATGCTGTGATGTCAGTTGTTTATGCAGCTTATTTTCTCTTTTCTTGCTTTCTTTCTCTTTCCATAAATCTGTTTAAATATGTTCCTGATCATCACTACTCATAACATGGCTGGAAAACATTCCCCTTTTTCTGTTGCTTGTTAAAAGCTATCTTTGTGTCTTGTTTTTATTTTATTTTTTAAAGATGTGAGGGGAAAAAAGATTTTGGCTGTCAAAAGTAATTTAGAATTCTTCTGTGAAACATTTCTCTAGCTTTAAGAGATTCTGTTGCTTATTAAATAACTGGTCAGTGTACACAGCCATTTGTTATTTTTTTTTCTGTTGGGAATGGTTAATGCCAAAATTATAAAAAGGACCATTTTGGTTATAGAGCAAAGCTGGACATAAAATAGTCAGCAATATGATCAGTTCATATCTCAAGGTCATTGGATATAAAGTTAGTTGCTAGTCCTTTACAGGATGTTGCAGAGCCAATACCAGCACTTTTGTGTGGCTGTTTTGATTTTTCTAGGCAAATTTTACATTTCTTACTGAACAGTCAGCTATCAGTAGCACTGTCGAAACCAGTGCAAGACAAATCGTCCTCAGCTGGAATCGAACCCGGCATTACGAAGCTCGTTGGCAACGCCTTAGCCACAGACGCCCATTTTATGTCACATAACTTTAAAGATTGTGCATAAATTGGATACCAGGAAATATTTTGGGTTATAGATGTGGCCAACATTGTATTAATCACATCAGCGATTGAATGTTAATAAGCACATAGACCCAATTCATTTGATGTCTTTCTTTTATCTGCCATTCTTTCTATACGTCGCAACCATTGCAGTCTATTAACCCTTAGTGTGCTGGTAGTTAGTGGTGATTTAAGTTGAAAATATACACAAAACTAAAAAAAAAAATATATATTTAAGAAGAGGATTCTAAGCACCATGCTTTTTGTTAAATATTCCTGATGTAAATGTTGCTTCACCGATGTCTTGTTTTGAAATATTTAGTATAATTATTAATTTAATGTTCTAACCTTTCAGATATAATGTCTGCGTGTCTCTGTATGTGTCGGGTTATGCGTCTGCGTGTATGTCTGTGTGCGTATGTGTGACTGTGTGTGTCTGTGTGTGTATATCTGTGTTTGTGTGTGTGCCTGTGACTGCATGTGTTTGTGTCTGTATGTGTCTGGGTTGTATGCGTGTGTGTTTTAGAGCGTGTGTATGAGTGTGTATGTATGTATGTATTTATGTATGTATGTATGTGAGTTTGTATGTATGTGAGTTTGTATGTATGTGAGTATATATATACATGTGTGTGTGTGTGTGCGTGCGTGCATTGCATGCGTGTGTGTGCGTGCGTGCGTGTGCGCACATGTTCATATGTATGTGGATGTATGTGTGTACTGGGTACCTATGTGTTTGTGTGTGAGTGATTGGACTTGTGTGTGTATGTGGGTGTGTGTGTTCGCGCATGAGCGTGCACACATATTTTACCAACCATGCTTTTGTATTTGACTTCATATCCATAATATGCATATTATTACATGAATATAACATGCTTCATTGATGAAATACAACTGCTGTGTGAAAGATGGAAGTTTGGAAGGGCCAAATGTAAGACAGGCCTGCGTGCCTAATTTGTAACCCTTTGAAAATAAAGTTCGTTCGTTCGTTCGATATATTATTTTGTTTAACTTTTTTTTCAGATGGTCAGAACTGGTTGTGTGGCCACAGGGAGCCTTAGTGAAGCACGTTCGAGGATTGTTCAAAGCCGAGGGTGTGAATGTCACAGCCGAACCTGGTAACAGTCTTCATAGTCGATTTTATGTACGTATAGACTTTCTGAATTATTTTTCCTCCACCGTTTTTGTACATTTTGGAGAATACTTAAGACATGATTTGAAAAAAATATATATTTGCATTAAAACACAAATGCCGGAGGAAATTTGTCAGCGTTAAATGGGATGAATTAAAGATAGGCGAAGAAATGAAGACAAATGTAGTAACTAGCTATATTAACACAGCCCTATGAGGGCCGTTTTTTTTAACATTCACAGGTTTTTGCTGACATCATGTCTATGTGCAGTGGCCACTACATTTGTATGAAAGCTTTGGTACTGGCTGCAACTGCATATTGTGTAGACATAAGGGGGTTTTACTATACAACAATGCTGTACGGATTAGGTTGGGAGATAATGGCGAATCTCTGACGCTAACACGACTTCGTGACCGAGAAGTTAAGCTTGGTGAAGCACGACTATGCCGTCTTAGAGGTAAAGACAGGAGATACTATAACCAACTCCTCATAGGAACAATCAGTAGAGGTACCTTGAAGTGACTGCTGCCTCAGAGGACTGAACATGCATGGGGATGCCCAATATGCAAAGACGTCGATTGTGGTAACATAACATAACATACTATACATATAAAATGTTTTTTTATAGTTTTTTTATTGTTTGGGTAAAAATATCACATCAAAAAATATTGATATCATCTTTACTTCATAATGGGATACTTTCTGCCTCCTCTCAGGCACCAGCATTCTCTGTGATGGTTTTAAGGACCCTAGTGCAAGGCTTCTGCCATGTGTTCATGTTGTATGCCCTGGATGATTAGCGATGATTAATTGTCAGATGGCAGGGGATCTCGGGGCATTGTCCAGACTGCCTCTGGCACTCAGCAACCCACCCCAATGCATGGGTGACAACCTTTTTAGAGAACTTATTGTGCAAAGAGTGAAGTTCATAGCCTGACCCTACTGCTAAATAATAATGGTTCCGATGTTATTCCGTTGAGAGTCTTACTAAATGGCAACAAAATGTTTACATTGGCCACAGTCATCCTAGAGAGAGGATCAATACATCCTTCAAAATCAGGGTACATCTGCCTGATAGGAAAGGAAACAAAACACTTCACAGATTTGTATGATGGATACTCATGAAAATACTTGATTCTTAGAACAAAGCCAAAGCCCACAAATGGATGACCAATGAGGACTTTCCGCCAGACTTTACAGCCGGTGAACACAAACTAACAAATAGACTGGTTAGTTTTGGGTCACTGGGTGATGAACTAATGCACGGCAAGGCAGATGTGGTAAAGTCCCTTTGGGAGAGCTTGTAAGGAGTGAGAAGCTCGTGATGGTCTGGACAGAATGATGCAACTTGAAAGGACCAGAGGATCTAGCTGAATCTCACTTCTTTCGGTTTCAGAAGGTCCCATCTACTGGAGGAGAGAGGCAAGAATGACAACTTTAAACTCATGGCTAAACAACTTCCACAGGGGTCAGATAACCAATCCTTGAAGGAAACAAATATGTTGTCTAATATTTTTACAAAAGAAGCCTTCAATAAACATAAAATATGAAACAGAAATTTTTTTAGCAATAAACATGAATAATATTCAGTCACACGTGGTACATTGGTTGTGAGAGAAAAATTCAAAGCTTAACTATTTTAGTCCCAGAGGGTTTAGCATTAGAGGCCCAGGAGGCTTAGCATCAGAGGCCCAGGGGATTTAGCATCAGAGGCCCAGGGGATTTAGCATCATAGGCCCAGTGGACTTAGCATCAGAGGCTCAGGGAACTTCAGCATCAGAGGTTCAGGGGGTAGTACCGATAGGTGTAAAAACAGCTTCTTTATTGGGCTTCTGGGTAGGAACTTATGAACGTATGATGCTTTCCTCGGGACTTAAAAGAGTTGAAGAAAAGGAAAAAAATTTAAAATTTAAATTAGACTGCAACTGGCACTCTTAGTGTTGGTAGTGGATCTTTTTCCTGATGATTATAACTTATGGGAATGTCTCCAGTATTGTCTGTTGGTTCTCAAGCAACTCCCTGATGTACACATGACAGGACCTTGTGCTGCAGATTCTCACAATGTCAGCTACAGGAGAAATTGGAGGCACTAATCACATCACAGGGGGAGGTAATAAATGTCAATTCTAGCATGGGAAATAACTGAAGAATTGTATGCTGGTGTTTTTTTACTTTAGGTCTTCTCTGTGTAAGTTCCAGGGTCCTGTTTTTTGGGAACACAAATATGTTGTAAAAAGTCACTAATTAAAGGTGTTTTCTTTGAAGTTGGAATATATTTGCCTGAGAGGTAAGGAGCCAAAAGTCTGCATTCAAGTAAGCCGGATGAGTTAAAAAAAATGTTCATGCAAAACTCCAGTTCTGGAACAAGATTAAATTCCAGAAGTGGGTGAACAACCAGAACTTTCCACTGGAGTTTACAGTCAGTCAGCAGCAAGAAGAAGACATTACTTTATGTCTAAGATGTTTTATTTTAAAGTTAATTTTCAGTGTTAGTTTATATTTATTTCCAATGTAATGTTTCAGATGATGTTTCACCAGCCACTGAGAATAATGAACTGGCTGGTGTTTCTAACCTGCCTTGTGGTTGGCTACCAGTTCTTCCGGCTGGTTCAGAGCTCCGAGTGGAGCCACGTCGTGTCCCTGGCCCTTTTGATGTTCTGTAACTTCTACACACTGTTCAAGCTGATGAGGGATTGGTTTATTATGCGCAAAGTATATAAGGAACATGATTATGAAACTTCGAATTAATGATTAGGTTTGGGCTAATTATAATGCCTGGAAACTGTTTGTGGAAAAAATATGCTGTGATCTTGAATGAAAGATGTCAGATCCTTTAAATTTACCACAGCATCAGAAGCATAATTTATGGAGACATGCATCTCAGATGATATAGGCACATATATTTAAACCCCTTCTTCTTCATAGTGTTTGCCGGCTGTAAACTCCGGCGGAAAGTTCTAGTTGTTCGTCCACTTCCGGGCTCTACTTCTATTCCAGAACCGGAGTGTTTCATGCACATCTGTTTTACAGATCTGACTCATGTGCATGCAGACTGTTGGTTCCTTGCTTCTGGGGCAGATGCACCTCGACTTTGCGAAAGCTCCCAATTAGTCAACTCTTGTAACATGCTTTTGGGTAGGCAATGAGTATATTCTTGTTTCCCCGCAATGGAATCCTAGAACCCACACAGTGTAAGTCTTTCAGTATCTAGGACAACACTATACATTCGTTGGTTACTCTGTATTTGCTAAATGTTTCTATACTGTTTATCTGTGTTTTTTTATTTTTTATTTTCTAGTTGTCCCTGTAATACCTTCTTTCCCGAAAGCTGTGTTTTTCAGCTCTGTTTGAGACCAGAATACTGTTTCTCTATGATTCAAATACTCAAGTATATCTTTCTTTGTCAATTGAGACATGAAAGAGAATTCTTAAAAGCTAACTAAATCCAATCTTGGTATACAGAAGTGAAACATGGTTAGTTTTAAGCTAGTAACACTGTTGAATACAATACAAAACTACTTGGGACTGAAAGAGTTTTAGAAAAAAAAAAAACAGAAAGGCTGAATGCTACGATTGATAAAGCAAACCTGGCGAAGACTTTCTTAGATCAGGCTCTACTTCTATTCCAGAACCGGAGTGTTTCATGCACATCTGTTTTACAGATCTGACTCATGTGCATGCAGACTGTTGGTTCCTTGCTTCTGGGGCAGATGCACCTCGACTTTGCGAAAGCTCCCAATTAGTCAACTCTTGTAACATGCTTTTGGGTAGGCAATGAGTATATTCTTGTTTCCCCGCAATGGAATCCTAGAACCCACACAGTGTAAGTCTTTCAGTATCTAGGACAACACTATACATTCGTTGGTTACTCTGTATTTGCTAAATGTTTCTATACTGTTTATCTGTGTTTTTTTATTTTTTTATTTTCTAGTTGTCCCTGTAATACCTTCTTTCCCGAAAGCTGTGTTTTTTCAGCTCTGTTTGAGACCAGAATACTGTTTCTCTATGATTCAAATACTCAAGTATATCTTTCTTTGTCAATTGAGACATGAAAGAGAATTCTTAAAAGCTAACTAAATCCAATCTTGGTATACAGAAGTGAAACATGGTTAGTTTTAAGCTAGTAACACTGTTGAATACAATACAAAACTACTTGGGACTGAAAGAGTTTTAGAAAAAAAAAAAACAGAAAGGCTGAATGCTACGATTGATAAAGCAAACCTGGCGAAGACTTTCTTAGATCAGGCTCTACTTCTATTCCAGAACCGGAGTGTTTCGTGCACATCTGTTTTACAGATCTGACTCATGTGCATGCAGACTGTTGGTTCCTTGCTTCTGAGGCAGATGCACTGCGAAAGCTCCCAATTAGTCAACTCTTGTAACATGCTTTTGGGTAGGCAATGAGTATATTCTTGTTTCCCCGCAATGGAATCCTAGAACCCACACAGGGTAAGTCTCTCAGTATCTAGGACAACACTATACATTCGTTGGTTACACTGTATTTGCTAAATGTTTCTTTACTGTTTATCTGTGTTTTTTTTTTTTTAATTTTCTAGTTGTCACTGTACTACCTTCTTTCCCGAAAGCTGTGTTTTTCAGCTGTTTGAGACCAGAATACTGTTTCTCTATGATTCAAATACTCAAGTATATCTTTATTTGTCAGTTGAGACAAGAAAGAGAATTCTTAAAAGCTAACTAAATCCAATCTTGGTATACAGAAGTGAAACATGGTTAGTTTTAAGCTAGTAACACTGTTGAATACAATACAAAACTACTTGGGACTGAAAGAGTTTTAGAAAAAAAAAAAAAAGAAAGGCTGAATGCTACGATTGATAAAGCAAACCTGGCGAAGACTTTCTTAGATCAGGTGGATAGTATTACTGAAGATCAGGTGGATAGTACAGAAGATCAGGTGGAGGATGTCTATTGTAAAGTGAAGTAAAGGATCCTTTTCCACACCTATAGGTGTATTGAGCACCTATATTTTCTAAACCGATTAGCACTCAGTAGGTGATGTGGTAAGCATCACGCCGGCTGCCTTAACTTCCCAGGGTTGCACCTGGTACCCACTCAAGGCTGGGTCAATCTGGAAGCCAGTCATCTATGAAGAAAGTGGGGCTCTATCAGGATCCAAACCCATGACCTTCTGATCCGCAGGCGAGTGTCTAGCGGCTGCACCACAGTGACTCCCCGGATGTCTATTGTATATGTATATATATATAATTGGCTGGTAAACAACATCCTGTCTCAGAGGCTGAAATATTTTGACCATTTCAAGCACCAAGGGGGGATTGGAAAAAATAATAGCAGAAGGCTTAGTACCAGGAAAGAGGGGCAGGGGCCGACCAGTACGAAGGTGGAAACTAAATACTGTGACTACTTGAATGTGAAAGAACACGAGGTGGGAGAGCTGGTGAGACTGAGTTTGTTTCAAGCAGACCATGATGAGAGCTGTGTTTTATAGAACAAATGGCACTTGGTGGGTAATGAGGTCAGCATCACACCGGCCACCTTTACTTCCCAGGGCTGTTCCTGGTACCCACTCACGACTGGGTCAACCTGGAAGCCCAGGTCATTTTTGAAAAAAAAGTCTAGCCCTATTTACTATTTGGATATGTCTAATTTCTCTACTGATTGTTTCTTGTAGCAAGCTGTTATCCACTGCTGGCTTGCTTTGTTGTTTGTTCTTCTGTATGACCACCAGATCAGATTGTGAAGAAACTGGGAGGTGTTATGTTGAAAAGAATATTGTAAATACATGGAATGTGAAGATAAATAGGTGTTGATAGCTGCTTATGTTAGTGTCATTCATGAATATCATACATAAAAAGCAGATAGAACTTAAGAGACATATCAAACATGTCCTGGAAAGTAAAGGTGGCTCGCAAAGTGTTGACCACATCATCCAGTGATTATCAATTTGTCTGTAAAAATATGAATTTAGCATCATATGCCTCTTAAGCCACCGGTGTTAAATTGGCCTTTGACTTACAATTCTCAACCGGTGTGGGTTCTGGGGCCCTATTATAGGAAAAACAAGAATAGACCCACTGCCTACCCAAAAGCATGTCATAAGAGTCAACTAATTGGGAGCTTCCTTAGAAGTCAGAGTGCATCTGCCTGAAAGGCAAGGAACCAACAGTCTGCACACAAATGAGTCAGATCTGTCAAACCAATGCACACACAACACTCAGGTTCTGAAAAAGGACTGCAGTCCAGAAGTGGACGAACCACCAGAATTTTCTGCTGGAGTTTACAGCCGGTGAAAGTGAAGATATAAATCCTATCTTCATATACGGAAGTGAATCATGGTCAGTCGGCAAGTTAGTGAAAACAATTTTTTGGTAGCTGCCGAAACATGGTTTTGTAGACAAATGTTGAGAATACTCTAGACAGATAGCAAAGAGTAATGAAGACGTCTTGGAAGAAACTGACTCACAAAGAGAACTGATTGCCCACATCAGAAAGAGACAATGTACATTCTTTGGTCATATAATGAGAAGGAGAAAACTACAGTGTTTCCTGACAATAGGAAAGTTGGAGGAGAGGCAGAGGGAGACAGAGAAAAGATGCTCAGTTTGACATCATGGCAAGGAGGATCATCTGTTTCAGAGTTGATTAAAAGTACACAAGACAGAATGTTTGTGGATAGACATGACTACCAACCCCACACAGCATGGACTAAGAAGAAGAAAAAGGTTGCACATATGACTCAGAATCAAATGCTATCCTGTGTAAATGTAATTATTTTGTATGTCACTGTCAATAACTAAAATATAGAGTGTCATCGAGAACAATAGCCTGGATTTTAACCTGTTATTATAAATGAAGTCTTTATTGGATGTACGCATGTGGCATATTAAAATGTTCAGAAAAGTTTAAGGTTTCATGTGACCTTGTGTAACCATGAAGCTTAAGAACGGCGACTAGAAGATGAACTTCCAGGATCTGAAAGAGAGGGTTGCTGCAACAGTTGCAACTGTAACTCTGGACACGGTTCAGAAGATGTGGCAAGGAGATTCAGGACCGTTCAAACATCATCAGAGCTACAAATGGTGATATTGCATTTAGTTATTTAATTGACAGATTATTCTCATTGCACATCGGACAAGTCTTTAAGGGCTTGGATCTCATCTTCAGTATGTCCCCCACCGTGTGGCGACTGCTAATACCAGTTCTTTGTTAGCTTACTATTCTTCTCTGGCTACCTGTGTAGTGTTCATGTTTGGCAACACCTCTCTTGACCTGAAGTTCTTGTAGTTTTTTAGTGTTGCCGATTTAACGTTTGCTGAATCATCTCACTCATCCTGCCTCCTTGAGCATTGAGAATGTTGGCCCCGTCCATTGCTTTTCCTATATCTACAGTGGCCTTGCCAGCAAGCCAATCCACTCGTTCATTATATCTTATTCCAGAGATGTTATGAGGGCCCTTGGGGCGTGAGTGAACAATGCAGAGGCTTAAATAGATCATAATGGTTTGAGATATTGAAGTGTACTAAGTCTAAAACTGTAAACTTTTCTGAACATTTTTTTTTATACCAGACCTGTATAGCCATTAAATACTTGTTTTATAAAAATAGTTTAAAATCGCGGCAATTATTGCCAGTGACACTGTAAATGTATGTCAGAGCACAATGTATGATGCAGTCCTTTTCATCTTTTCAAACATTTGGAGAACTGATTTTGACCATGAAAGGAATTTTCACCATTCTTCTGTAGGTTCATATCTGAGGCCTCTAACATTTTTTTTTTAATTCACCTGTTTACTGATTGTCCAAAATTCACAGCCCATGTGGTTAAATTGGCTGCCTGTAACCTGCATTAAAAAAAAAATTTTTTTTAAACTTTGGAGACAAATATGGCATTCATGAACACACTGGAAGATTATAACTATGTTATTGTCTTGTAACCTGTCAGTGTTGTTAAAGTTGTCAAGAGTGTTAAGCTTGTGACATCAATGTGCATCACATTATAATGACAGTTTAAAGATGGCCAACAAACTTTTGACATGCACCAAAGAGGAGCAGCATTCGGCTATCTATTTTTGTTTTATTTTAAATCACTGATGAGGGACCTATAGAAATTCATTTGCAAACGAAGATCCCGTATGGTGGCTGCAACAGTGTGGACAGGTTACAAGACAGTAACATGATTATTGTAATTTCTATCACACTATTATTTTTTCATTTGACCTTGCATATTGAAATATTCTTGTTCAGTTGGTAAAAACGCTAATAGTGTATGGATGTGCAATGATAGTGCAGGAATATAATATTTGTAGGTGAGTTTTATCTGCTGCATTGCATTGTTCTTCACCTGTTAATATTTTAAGCTGTTTTTTTTTTTTTCTTCTAAATTATATACATGTGTATTCACCAAGTTAATGTTGGACTTTTTTCTTCTGTGACATGAAAGGTGTGATATACGGGTAAATAGTGACCGTACATGGAAAGGTGGGATGCATATACAATCAGGCTGTTACTGGTGCTTTTGGAATTCTGCACTTGCTGCTGAAGATGGGGACATAGTGCTTATGTCCCAAGCACAGTAATATCAGTTCATTATTAAAAAATATTAAAGCACACAGGGAGTTGGTTGCTGTATACAGATGTAGCTCATCAAACTGTTAATGTTTGGTAATGATAAGTGCTATACTTATAAACTGGTTGACATAGAATCTGCTGAGTTAGTTGACATGGAATCTGCTGAGTTAGTTGACATGGAATCTGCTGAGTTGGTTGACATGGAATCTGCTGAGTTAGTTGACATAGAATCTGCTGAGTTGGTTGACATGGAATCTGCTGAGTTGGTTGACATAGAATCTGCTGAGTTAGTTGACATAGAATCTGCTGAGTTGGTTGACATGGAATCTGCTGAGTTGGTTGACATGGAATCTGCTGAGTTAGTTGACATATAATCTGCTGAGTTGGTTGACATGGAATCTGCTGAGTTGGTTGACATGGAATCTGCTGAGTTAGTTGACATGGAATCTGCTGAGTTAGTTGACATGGAATCTGCTGAGTTAGTTGACATGGAATCTGCTGAGTTGGTTGACATGGAATCTGCTGAGTTGGTTGACATAGAATCTGCTGAGTTGGTTGTCATGGAATCTGCTGAGTTGGTTGACATAGAATCTGCTGAGTTGGTTGACATGGAATCTGCTGAGTTGGTTGACATAGAATCTGCTGAGTTAGTTGTCACACACATCTATATGAAGACAAGACATGCACTTAAAACAGTACACCTTTTAAATGTAATTTACAATAGTATGTTGTCCTTCAAGATGATGATGACCACTCTTTTTCATCAAGTATGAGTACGAAGATGACTGATGAGGCCGATGCGGGCCCGAAATGTTCTTGGACGGTGAGGACAGGGTATGAATTATGTGCCAGGGAGGGGATCTCCTGCAGTCGCCTTTTTGTCCATCCTTTTCTTAATCAGGCTTGTGTTCTGTTTGCTTCACATGTAGCCACGCTCTTGTGTAGAGTTGCATTTCGGTCTAGAGAGGCAACCTCCCAATTGGTGTCATTCATCCCAAATGCTTTGAGTAAAGACTTCAAGGTGTCCTTAAAGCGCTTCTTTTGCCCGCCTTGGGAACATATCCCATTTGATTTAGAATTTACAACAGTACTTGAAGTGCTTCAACATAACGTTACTTCAATGTTTGGCAGTTTCATTATTCTTGTTATGTAATCTACTGTACTGGATGCATATAGTTTCATCATTCTGACACACCTGATTGCTTGCATACAATATTAACATTTCATTTAACAGACCGGAATGGTTGTACATAGTTTTAGGACATCAGGAGCTAGCTTGGTTTGGGCACATTGTGAGACATGATGCGATTGCCATAACTGTACTTTAAAAAAACATTGGGGGGAAAAGGGGGGAGGGGGGGGGGAGGGTTAGTGAAGTAGACAAAGAAGAACCTGGAATGACAACATCAAGAAATGGACAGGACGAAGTTATCATACACTTATCAACACAAAGACAGAAAGATGGCAGGTTTTATGGGCCAGTGCTTCCATCAATACACCTCCACGTCAAGGGTTATGTAATGTTATAGTTGAATAATTCTGTTTTACACACTGGCTAAGCTATGTATTGTTTATCAATCAGAAAGCCACCAAAACTGACACAAGACGATTACCATATTATGGACAGACCAGAGCAAGTAGTTGTTCTTCACTTTGGAACAGGGCCCAATCGACTTCATGGCCATATGTACACAACATTTCAAACTGACAAATCAGAAATGTGCACATGTGGATTGGCACTTGAGACAACAGATCACGTCCTCCAAGATGGTCCCAAATACAATATATCAAAGCAAAACCAAGAGAAACACCGATGGAAGCCAAAATTTAATGGTGGCTAAGAGAATTTTAAAAAAACTGACAGTGATGTCCAAATTAGAGACAACATTGCTGATTTACTGATAGAAGAATCGACATAGCACACCGGGCATACCCACAGATGCTTCATCTTCCGCAGAAAATATCTCAAGGTGTAGATGCTAACTGTTCCCGTAGTACACTGATTATACTACACACATTCTTTCTTTCATCCATCAATCCTTGCCGGTTCCATACTTAATTCTTTCTTCACACATTCTTGCACATGTTATTTCATCTAATCTCTTGTCTTATGTTAGCATTCGTTCATGTATAATCTTCACAATATCTCCCTTGTCCAGTACGAGTGTTCCTGTAGCTTTCACTTTTGTAGCCAGAAAATCCGCTCTTTCATTCCCTCGCACTCATGCATTTTCCGGACAGTATATCTACATGTTTCCCTGCAATGTTGACAACATTGCAGAAATAGATAATCTATTTCAAGAGAACAAAAAATGTTTTTTCTCTGCAATGATGACAGCATTGCAGTTTTAGATAATCTATTTCAAGTGAACAAAAGAAGTTTATCAGTTTCACACACAGGATTGGTTACAGTCTTATTCTTGGACAATACACTGGCATATAGTTACAAAAAGTTATCACTCACACTGGATAGTTTGCATAGATTTGTCACTCTTGTATAACACATGGAAATGTTGAAATAAGAATCAATATCATAGCACTCTGAACACTTCTATAAGTGCACCATCCCCATCTTTAGCAGCAAGCGATGAGTTCCAAAACCGAGGTACCAGTAACAGTTTGATTGTACATCTGTCTTGCCTCTCCCTTGAGTATTGAGCATCAGTCAGAATTCCTGGTGACTCCCAGCAGCGACATTCCCCCCAATACCGTCAAGATTTGCACCTCCGCACTGTTCACTTGCCTCCAAAGGGCCCTCACAACATCCAGCTTGTCATACATCAATTCACCACCAAGTGGTTGGGAAACGGCAAGTCTATATGCCTGCTCATTTTCCAACACACAGGCATACCTGAAGAAAATATCTAAAGGACACATAACTACCCGGGACCTCTAAAGCAATGCCTGCAACTCTGCACGGGAAATGCCTGTCTCCGCCTTTCTTATCATATTCTGTAAGTCAAGTTACAATAACGACATGTGTGTACAGCTGATTCTCAATCCAGCGGAAGACAGCAGTGACTGCCTCCACCTCGATTACTAAACTAGACGTTATGATATCATATGCCAATCTTTGTTGCACTAAGCAATGTCCACCCACTTTTATAACATTGGAATAGTTGCATATACTTTGTAATTAAGGTTGGTCATTCTACTTTTGCTTTGATCCTTTAGTTAGTAAACAAAGATGGTGAACTCTTTAATTAGTTAGTCTTTCCTCTTGTGTCGAGTGCGGCACATAGGGCAGAGGTCATGACTCTCCATGCATGGCGGTTCGTTGCAATCTGTTGTAGGTCTTGGATGTTTGGGTGGCCCATGAGCGAGCCTTCCCTGATGATAGTTCTACGTAAATGAACTCTTTTAATGCACCAAAATCTGGTTACAATTGTATTGGTTACAATAAAACAGCAGAATATAAAAACTCCAAGGATAACATTAGAAATTAAATTGTTATGAAAAAGGTTCAGAAGCAAAGACCACAATTTACTTCTGCATGAGAAAAGAAAAACAATGTAATGGCAAAGTACGGGGGAGAGAGGAGGGGGGGGGGGGGGATGAGCAGAGGTCAGAATGACTGTTTGTCATGATGAATCCCAGCCATCTGGATAAAGGGGTATAATGAAGACTGGGAACAAATGGCTCAAAAGAGTTTAGGGGAAATAATAAATTTGACATAGTTGAAGGTGCCTATCTTGTAACATCGGGAAAACTACAAATCTCCTCTCTATGACGTTTCATGGTAAAAGCATTGGAAGAGCAAAATAAAACGAGAGGACAAATCAGCCATGTGTCACTCTTAGAAAAACGAACGATAGAGAACACGCATTGTAAACAGATGTAGTTAGTCACACTAGTAGGCAAGAGTCACACTAGTAGGCAAGAGTCACACTAGTAGGCAAGAGTCACACTAGCAGGCAAGAGTCACACTTGTAGGCAAGTTTTAGTTGATCCTATTGCAGATATGTTTGCTATAATTCGTTTTTAGTAACCATCTCTTTATCAATCAAATTCTCTTTAATAACGCTCGATTTTTTCACATTCGCGTTTGTATCAAAACGACGGGTGGTTCGCGAAGATGCTTCATGTAAATATCCGGTTTCATTGACGTACACTTTCCAGATCCTCATGTGCGGATCTTTTGGAACTATAAACTTCTTGGGCGATTTCACGATCTGCAGACGGTTGGAAACAAACCACAACCAGCCATTCTCATCCAGTGCGAACGTGTCTGGCCATTGCATTTTCTTTTCATCCTGAACCAGCTTCACTTGAGTGGTCAACTTTACTTTGTCAATGGCCAATTCCTGCTGCTCTATGTCTCGCTTCACATCCCAGTAATAGACCGCGTTCAAACTCAGCGCTCCGTAGTAAAGATGTTTAGTTCCGTGAATCATTCCATCACTTTGTGACACTTTCTTCCCAACATTCCTTACTTTGTACTCTAGGGTGGAATAGTTTCTCAAAGCTGACGTTGGAACCTGAAATAGGTCATAGCCTCCCAGAACGCTGTAGTAAACATATTGAAAATCTGGCGACATTGCTATTCCGTCTATAGGCACCGGGAAATTGTATAGATAGTTGACTATCTCCATGACCGAATCGTTGATGTTTTCCACTTTCATAGACGAGTGTTCCATCTTGTAAGCTTTTCCAGTCTGAAAATCGAAGCCAACCAAATAACCATCATTGGCATCAGTTATATAGGCGTACCGTACTTGTCCATCAACATAATCGAGAACGAGGTCGTTCAAGAAATTTCTCGATCTACTGACCACTTCGTCAGGTAGTTCATAGAGTTGGACTTGCTGGTCAGTTTTTAAATCATACACAACGATTTTTGCAGGACACAGGTCCAACTTCATGCCCACTCGACCACTGTCTATCACATACATAAGACCAGTGTTGGGATCTATCTCCATGCTCCAGACATACTGCAATGCCTGGCAGTTGCCTTGTTTCTGAGCGGCCCAGTTGGGGTAGGGCCGGAACTTTACTTGTCCGTCTACCTCGACAATTTTAGCAAGAGTTACTGGCTGTCCAGACGTCCAGAACCACCGAGGGATTGACACGTAGACATCGCCTTTGTAAGTCTGTAGAAAAAAAAGTGTTCTAAATAAACAGTACATAGATAAACAGTACATAGATAAACAGTACATAGATAAACAGTACATAGATAAACAGTACGATGCAATTAACATTTGGCCTGGTAAGTACATACTTCTGGATATTTCTAAGCATTCATAATTTGTTAACATTTATTTACTTTTTCGTTTAGTTTTTACCTGATTATACAGTTTGGAATAATTTATTCATATGTCTATCCCCTTCTGGGGGGGGGGGGGGGGGGGGGGGAGAGAAAGGGGAGAGTGCTGATTTATTTTTGTGTACATTATGTAATATATATGTGACTGACTTTTCCCGTTACAAGCTGCTACCTAGACATTTGAAAGCTTTGTCACTTAAAGAGTTCAAATTTTAATATCAGTCCCACAGGACATATAATCATCATCATCATGTGCTCTGCCAACTGGCGTAGGCGCTCATGCGTCTCCACAGATTACAACCCCTGGTTGCCTGGAACAGCTCTCTTGATGATATCCTTCCATGCATTCGTTTCAGTCCATCCAGCAGTATCTCTCTTGGTCTACCTCCACCCCTTTTTCCACTGATCTTTCCAGTTGTCACGTTGTTCTCCAATGTTTCTCTTTTCATTATGTGGCCAACGAACAGTGATTGTCTTTCTTATTGTTGTATATAGAGATCTACTTATTGTTGTTTATAGAGATCTACTTTCATTGGCCACTTTCAGGCAATCGTTGTTGGTTACTCTGGCCGTCCAAGGTATTCGTAACATTCCTCTCAGAAACGACAGACAAATTATAGGCACTCCATTCAAATAACATATAATATGTTATAATTACCATGTATAATCTATGCAATATTTAATAACCACAAGTGTGAGACTAAAATAATTATTTGGAATGAGAAAAACTATCCCAAATACTGGCCATGAAAGATGAAACAGAATAACTATGATTAAATTGCTGCTGTTGCTGCTGCTACCACTACTACTACTACTACAAGTGCCAACCACTATCCCTAACTAATAACACTACAAGCACAATCCGCTCTACTACTAGTACTACCACTGCTACTCTGCTGCGACTATTACTGTACTGCCGCCACCGCTGCCATCACCACCACCACCACCACTACTACTACTACAACTACTACTGCTGCTACTAAAAGTTATAACTGAACATGGGTTTTGTGTGGAATGAAAACAACTGAAACATTGAGGCACACCTTGATCCCAGCAATGATACTTCTCTCTGGAATGTAACTCTCGTTCTGGACGGACTCCTCCCTCTGCTCCACGGTAGGCCAATCAAACTCCAGGATGGACCACTCGTGTACCAGCACCGGCTCTCCAAACGTCTGGGTTTGCACATTCCCAACGACGAAAGACGCAGCCATCAACAGCATCAAGTCCATGTTGTTGTACTCTCCTGTGAAATAACATGGAGTATAGTAAAACCCGCAAGCTATATAGGGCCGGTTTTAACGTAGGTATGTCAATCCTGGACAAGTAATAAACAAGCCGAACAATATCTTGACGCCTCGGAGATGTGGTTGTTACAGAAGATTCCTTAGAATTTGCCAGACAGCTAAGAAGAGTAACTCAGATCTTTTGAAAGAGGCAAGTGCCCGAAGACAACTTATAACAAACATCAGAAAGAGACATAATTTTTAGGTCATGTTATGAGAAGAGCGGAAAACAGAACGTGTTGTGACCACTGAAAGGATTTGGGGAAAGAGAGGCAGAGGAAGACAGCGCTAGAAGTTTCTTGACAACCTTTTGTCATGGTATGGAGGGGTGCCAACACCGGAACTGATACAGGCAGCTGCGGATCGCAGATTGTGGCGAGGCATGGTCGCTCATGCCAGTCGGCAAGTCACTTGATGATGATGATGATGATGATAGTAATAAGAAATAAAATAAATGCCGACATCCTAAAAGATGTGAACAACAAGGACAACTGGCCAAAACAAGATGTATCGGAAACTGACAAATTTTGGCCATACAAAGCGTTACAGCCACCATTATCTAGCGACTAGGCGCTTGCCTGCGCATTGGAAGGTCATGGGTTCGTTTCCTGACGGAGGCCGGACATTTTTCAAAAAATGACCTTGGCTCCCGGGTCGACCCAGCTTTCAGTGGGTATCAGGTGCAGTCCTGGGAAGTAAAGGCGGTCGGTGTGATGCTGACCACATTACCCACCAAGTGCTGGTAGGTCTATAAAAATATACATCTAGCCCTATATACCCAATACGCCTGAAAAGCATGGGAAAAGATCCTTTACTTTTTGCTTCCTACCAAGCGCTACGGTGGAGTGCAAATATTAGCAGAAGGCAGGGTACCAGGAAAGAGGGGCAGCATGATATTGGGCAAAGGATATAAGAGAGATCTTGAGTCGGAAAGTGCACGAGGCGGGAGAGCTGTCGCGAGAGCGAGTTTTTATTTCAGACAGACTCTGGTGATAGCCACGTTCTGCAAAGGATCTGCTACCCGATGGTATCAAAACGACAGTTTTAGAACAGCAAATGTGAAAACATGCCTAAATAAATTGATGAGCATTAAATGGGGTGAATTGAAGCAAGGCGAAGACAAACGTGAAATGTAGGGGGCACCCTGGGGAGAAACGGACAAGAGATTCACAAATAGACATTTGAATGGGAAACAAACGGACTGAACAAACGAGTACGTGCGAAAGAAACTTTAAGACGAACGTAGATGAGAAGCCAAATGTGCTGGATTTGATTTCACCCCTTTCCGTGTGGTTCCATGGCTTCATTTTATAAATAAAGAAAGAATAGGCCAAACGGCTCTCTCAAGAGTGTCCCAAAAGGCGATTAAATCACGGTTTTTTCTTCGAGGTAAGATCGTGTCTTCCTAAGATGCAAGGAGCCATTAGTCTGCATACAAACAAGCCAAATCTATCAAATTCAGGGAATCAGTCAGGTGCAGACTCTACGGTGAAGGTTGTCTGCAAGGGATCTCCAGCAGGCTCCGTCTCTTGTCCTGGTTGTACACTCTCTCATACTACTGCCCATCCATCTCTTGATGTCGCTCTCCCAATTGTATCGTTGCCTACCTCTTGCTTTCTTGCCTTCGACCTTTCCCTCCAGTATAATTTCTAAAAGTATGTTATGATGTAACATTGATATTTACGCAATACTCCAGTTCCGAAACAAGACTTAGGTCCAGAAGCGAATGAACAATCGCAACAGCCGAAGTACGAGTGTACATCCGAAGAGCTCTAAAAAAAGGATTTCACCCATTGTTGGCAGCACTGGGTGGATATTACAGAATGTGAGGATAAACTGCTATCCCTATGTGATGTTGATTATAATGAAATGTGAATACTGACAACGTTGCCACAGTTTAAACCATTGACCACTGTTCGTTTACAGATCATCTTCATCGCACATCAGACATGACCATAAGTGCTCCGATCTCCCCCTGAGTATGTCTCCAAGTGTTTTAGGCTAAAGACTCCCATTTTGTTCTGGTCGATGTAACGAGTGGTGGCTTCCGCATGGTTTTCCTGTCACTCTGCTCCAACTGGTACACCCGGAGTGTGCAATAATCTCTTCAGTGAAAAATCATTTTAAGGGAAACTGAAAGCCTCATAGCGTTTAATCTCTCGTATAGCACTGATGAGTCGGCTCTGTGGCTAAGTCGATTCATAACGCTTCGTATGCCGGGTTCGATCCCAGCTGCGGGCCATGCGCTGGTTTCGACAGTGGTATCAAGAAATCCGACTGTCCAGAAAACATTGGCAAACTACTGGACGTAAATCTGCCTAGAAAAACCACACAACAACCAGGGGCTGTTGGGGTTGGTTCTGCAACGTCCTGTGAAGGATACGAAATTAACCTATAGCATTGATGATGACTACCCTGTCCAAAGAGGGCCCATTTCCTGATAGTTGCACTGCCAGCCAGGGCGTCTGCTCTCTCATTGCCTTTCACACCAGCATTCCATGGGACCTTAACCAAGGGGGATTTTGCGAAACGCTGCGTGCTGTATCAGACGGGGCCACTGTTTCCCTACAGGCCCGTCTTGATTTTCTGTAGCATTCTCAATGAGTCTGTGAGCAAGCATACATTAATGAATCCCTGAGTTTTCAGCCATTCTAGCGCTTTTGTCACAGCCATGACCTCAATTGTCATTCCGACGGCTGTAGAAGCAAAGGCTCCGCTGTCTTCTTTGATCACTGTTCCTTTACACCAGTATTCCTCAGCTGGTTTAAGCAAGTATTCCTCAACGTTTTTATACCAACAACCCAGCAAAACAGTGGCGATTGTGACGTAGCCTAGTTTACTGGTTATTTCCAATGTCTCAACACTTCAGTTTACTGGAAAATTCCAATGTCTCAACACTACAAATTTTTGCTGCTTAATCATCATCATCATCATGCACCGTGCCGTCAAGCGTAGACTGTCATGTTTCGCAGCTCACAAGATCACCAGAATAGCGGATCAGTTCAATGTTTTTGTCTCGCCCCATCCTTTGGCCAGGCCATTTAGGTTGTTATCTTATTGCCATGCCACTGCTCTCTCTCTCTCTCTCTCTCCTCTCTCTCCCCTATCTATATCTCTCTCCTCTCTCTCTCCTATCTATATCTCTCTCGATCTTCTCTCTCTCTCTCTCTCTCTCTCTCTCTCTCTCTCTCTCTCTCTCTCTCTCTCTCTCTCTCTCTCTCTCTCTCTCTCTCTCTCTTGCCAGTTGTTACTAACTTCTCAATTCGATTCGTTCTCATTACACGTCCAACAGACACCGACTATCAACGTCTAATTGTTCTAAAAAAATGTACGATTTTTATCTGTTTCGGTGAGGAGTGTCTCGTTTGTTTTTCTAAACTTCCATGATGATCTTTGCATTCTGTTCATAAACCACATCTCTGCGACGGGTAAATGTTTGTTCATTATTTCTTATTGTCCATGTTTCATGTGTTTAAAACAACAACGAGTGAGGAGTACTGTCTGGATTTTTTTCACCGGGACACGCCGGTGTGTTGGGAAATAAACAGGCGGACAGACTGGCTGGCTCTGCACAACTTGGTGGAATACTAATGCATGAGAAGGCAGCGGGGAGTGACGAGAGGTTCTGGTTCTGGCAGTAGCTCAGAGGAAAGGCAAAACGGACATTTAATCAGAACGCTACTGGCACCATTAGTATCGTAAATCTCCATTGGCTGCTGGGGATAGGGACGAAGCTCTTATGTGAATGCCCCGAGTCCTGTGATGTCGGTTCTTAAATCAACTATAAAAAAAAAAAAAAAAAAAAAAAAAAAAAAAAAAAAAAACAGATTCCACTTAGCACTTTTTCTCACTGCAATTGACATCTTGTTAGCAGGAATCTTGTGCATCTTACTAAAATCCACTTTTGCCATGGCGATGATTGTTCTAATTTATGCAAGGCATCTTGCATCACATGTTATGACGGTTGCTACAAAGCTGTATCTATTTATCTTTCTTCAGAATTCTTCCGTTTGCATGTTTGCTGGTGCTTAGTGATTAGAACAATTTGACATTGTTCCTGGAGCGTCATTTCTAGCACAGAATGTTAAAATAACATTCGATTTGTCCATTTAGTTTTAGTCTAGTCTGTTCACAAACATATAAAGTCCTTGAAGTGTTAATCCTACAGACGAGAAGGGGAAAACTCCCACCTACTCTACTTTGTTACGTTGATTCGTCGTCTTCGTCGCGTTGACTGCCTGCAAACTGACGAAAAGTTCTGGGTGTTCTTCCACCTCAGGACTTAAGTCCTGTTCCAGAACCCAGGTATTGTGTGCACATCCGTTTCACACACCTGGCTTACTGGTATGCAAACTCCTAGTTCCTTGCCTCTAAGGCAGATGCACTTCGACTTTAAAGTATGCCTCCAATTAGTCATATTTTACGACATGCTTGTTGGGGAGGCAGGGGATCGATTCTTGTTTTTTCTACTATGGGGCCCCGGAACCCACACGGGAAAATATATATTGCATTAAATGCTACATTTTAAACAGAAGATTACTTGTTTTGTACATTCAATATTTACTCAACTTATTCGGCCCCAATGTTTTTTTTTTAAAAATAATGTGTGCGTGTGTGTGTGTGTGTCTTATTAGGATCCACAGATTATTAATTTAAAAAACAGTCCATTTGAGTATAAAGTGTTGAATAAACAAGAGCCTGGAACTAGAAAAAGCACATAAATATTAATTCTAATAATGTTAATACTGTAAACATTCATCATCATCATAAACCACTTCTGCCGTTAAGCGTCGTGGGAAGCCACTGGCTGTTGTCATATGTGAAAGTGTAGTGTCTTTAATGTTGTCGATCCATTGTTTCGGCGGCTGTCCTTTTGCTCTTGTAGCTGATCTTCTGAGATGTGCTTGTGATTGTATTTGATCTTACTGCATTCTAACGAGATGGCC